CCCCCAACAATTTTCTGTTTCATAACTCGTGTGAATGACTCGTGTGATGTGGACACTAGATTTGATTAAAGCAACGAATTCTTCTTTTTCAAAACATGACCTACTTTTTCGACTACTATTATTATCCACGTGAAAGACATAGTGCAAAACTTCCAAAAACTAGATTAATTATTTGTTACCCACAATGTGGTATCTTTCTTTTGAACGCCAGAATACGGTACTATTTCTATCGCGGAACTGAGCTCTTGTATAATAAAAGGGTTCACTTCCACCTACGGATACATACCACTCTGTCAGAAAGTAGATGCATGACGAACATTTCCGTTAGGTTTACTGACGTGTCCACCTACTGGTACATCACAAAGGCTACTACGGAAACTATTCTTTTGGTGTCACGACATGGTGGAATCAGGCGCTGGTCAATTTTAGATATTATAGAGTGGAGTTTCTTGTATCTTCTTAAAGCCTGTTCATAAAGTCTTGCTTTTGATGTACAAAAATACCCATCTATTTCGGAAATGAAGTCAGGACAGAGAGAAATGGCACGAGTTGGTTGTCAGATGCATTGGTGCCACCACGGTTACCCCAACCACGGGAAATACCCTTCTATATGGAAATGAAGTTGAGAAATTTACGATTGAAAGAGGTAGGGGTCAAAGATTAACTTAACGAAATATAGCACCAAAGTTTTGTCATTAACTTAGCTTGAGATTCCTTTAAAACTGCAAATTTACAGTTTTTATGATATTGATCAACGTTTTTATTCAGTAAAATCCAAACTCAAATCTGCATTAAACAAGGCATAAACATTTTAGTAAAAATAAATAAATAAATAGATAAATAAATAAATTTTTAAAAATAAAAAATAAATAAATAAATAAAAGCCCAACGTGTGTTTCCATGATTTCATTATTTTGGCGAGCGCCTGATTTCATCGCAATGCGACCCATCATTCGTATCTGCAAAATGTCACGAAGTTATAACGGTTATCACAAAAAAATCGTCACCTGACCACAACCCGTTGTCCAATAGACAATACGATTTAATCTTCGGGATCTCGGCGATTTCCGTCAAAGAAACAACTCCACAGCAGTGATTAATTCTCGCGCTTTGTGGCCTGTCTTTGACCATCATCTCCATTCTATTCAGTTCCGAGGTCTTTCCCTATCCCTCTCCCCGCGTACCCCTCCCTCCCCTTCCAGTACCCC